ATTTTTGAACCTTTACATTTTCCTGGGTTTTGTTACTATAAATAGATCCATGCACAGTCTTACAGCAGCTGTGCCCACCCACGGTCATTCGTTTGAATGGAATTGCAGGTCAAGGGGCAAGCACAAGGCTTTCGAATGTGCTGTCAGGTTACCCTCTGGAAGGGCTGGACCAGTTTACTTTCCACCAGTGGCACATTCGAGTCCCTAGGTCCCTGTTTTCCTGGGAGTAGGGATTTTTTTCCTCATCTTTCCAAATAGTAGTTATTTTTAAGTATTTCTATTACTTTTTAAGTTGAGCTTTTAAAAATAGCCCTCATTGGTGTGGCTCAGTGGATTGAGCCCACGCCTATGGACAGAGGGTTTGCAGGTTCGATTCCCAATCAAGTCACATGCCTGGGTTACAGGCCAGGTCCCCAGCTGGGGGCATGCAAGAGGCAACCAATCCATGTTTCTCTTGCGCATCGATATCTCTCTCCTTCTTTCTCCTCTTTTTCCCTTCTAGATAGATAGATAGATAGATAGATAGATAGATAGATATTTAAAAAATAAATGGCCACTTATTATCTTCTTTTCTGAGTCATATGAGTTCTTTTTCTTGATTTTCCAAGGCTCTTTTGAGTTTAACCATGACAGTATGTTAGAAATGTATTTTTCCGAGTGTTTTTTTGTTTTAGTCCCATTTTGAGCAATCTAAATGTGACCCTCCTTTTCAGACCTTTCCATGGCATCTTTCAACCCCTGTACTCATTCTTTAGAATGTTTTCAGAGGTTCGTTTGCACTCCACTCCTCTCCTACACATTATGACTTCGTGCTGTAGTCAGAGTGGGAGGAGAAGAGAGCGTAGTGTTTGAATAGTGTGTATTTCTTAATCTTTAGTTTTCCCTCCCAGCCATAGAATGAGGAAGGCTACTGCAGGCAAAAACAGTCAGGCATGATTTCACCCTACTAGATAATTTTTTACTTTACCTTCACAAGTGTGACAACACATGCCATGCTCATTTCCTCCAAAATGTAGCAGCATCATAGAGTCTTACTTTCTTATATTTTGGAACAAGTAGCTTTAATTAAAAAAATAATCTTTGTTATTCTTCTGGGTGTACAATATATTCATTACAGACAATTTAGAAAATACTGCAGAGTATGGAGAAGCACGTGCAGTCACCTGTGCTCCTATCCTTCCTCTGTGGTGACAGCTGATTGTTAGAATACATTTGATGCAGTCGTGTTAGACGACCATTGTACCGTTGGATTTCGTTTGTTACTTGCTTATTATTTAAGACTCTTATGTCTGTATTCATGCTTGAAGTTAGGCATGTTTCCTCTTTTTGTGCTATTTTTGACAAGCTTGTATCAGGGTTTTATACTAATTAGTTTCATGAACAGAACTGAATCGCTTCCCTTCTTTTCATGTGTTTTTAAATAGTCTCTCTAGCATAGGAGGCATCGTTCTCTAAAAGTTCGAAAGAGCTCACCACTATAAAATTTGTCCATAAAGCTTCGGAAGGCTGTAAGTTCTGTTCTATGACATATATTGTCTAATGTAATACATGTCATCAGAACTTTTGTAAGGTTAAGTGGAGTACTTTGGTTTACTAACTATATCGAGTTCATTTTCAAAGAAGTTTTTTAAGGGCTATCTTTTATTGTTTCTTGAATGAACACACTGTAAAAAAGTGAAATAGATGTAAATTAACTATTTTTCCATATTTTATCCTGAAAAAATTCAAATATACACAGAAATTGAAAGTGAGAAATCTATGTGAATTCCTAAAAATGTAAAAAAGTATATTCTTTGGGTTCTTTTCAATCCTGTGAACATTTTTAAAACCTTATATACTTTTACAACTCAAGTTATCACCTACTACTCTTCCATATAATTTCTAGTAAGTCTTTCTACCATTTTTTTCATCCTTTTCCTACCTTATTCTTTTTTTAAATGAGTTTATTTGGCACATCAGAAAGGGTATAGTAAGTTAAGTCTTTGTACTCTCTATTTAAATGTATTGGATATAATACACCAATAATAAAATAAAAGCTTAAACAAAATAACCTTTTGGCCATCTGTAATACAACCCATACCAAAATAGCAATCCTAAACAATACTGTTTCTTTTCAACAGACAGAATACCAACTGTGTAATGTGGAAAGAGTTCAAAATTAAAACAGTTTTTTATCTTGTTCCATTTCAGGCACAAAGATTCAGATATATAATGGAAACAATTTCAGTGCTAAGCATCTTGAAGTATTAGAACATAATACATTTGAAAGGAGAGCTAAGAAAGACTCCGTTCATTTATACATCCAGTTTTCTTGAACTTTACCTTCCTTTTGCAACAATATCATTTCTTCTTCTACAGTAGTTTATTTATTTAATTTTTTAAAGAATGCCTGCTCTTTTTTTTTTTTTTAATTTCTAGAGAGAGGGGAAGGGAGGGAGACGGAAAGGGACAGAAACATCAATGTGTGGTTGCCTCTCGCATGTCCCACACCAGGGAACCTGGCCCGCAACCCAGGCATGTGCCCTGACTGGGAATTGAACCAGCGGCCTTTCAGTTCACAAGTCAATATTCAGTCCACTGAGCCACAACAGTCAGGGCTCTTTCTCACAAGTTTAAACTACAGAATGTATTACTTTTTATGTGAGAAAGTAAAAATGATATACACCTCATTCAAGAACTTTGAGTTTCTGAAAATTAAGTTATTCAATCTTAGATTTTTGCATAGAATTTTTAAGAATGCATTGAGATCAGAACCATAGGTTTTCCTCAGTTTGCACATTTGTGTGTAAATTCATAAATGCAGCAATCAGCTTCACCAGCAGTAATCTAAACAATAAGCTTTAGGAATGATTTGCAGTAAAAAACTTATAAGATGATCTTTACTAGTTCTTCATTTTCCCAAAATGTAGTTATTGTTTCATCTTTGTTTTTGCTCCTTAAACATTTTAAACTATATCCATGTAAACATGTACAGCACCTTGTTTTAATTTTGTTACAGTGTTGAGCTTAGTTGGCTATTCTCAGAAGAGTTTTAAGAGAAATTACATGCCTAGGTAGGTGTCTTGCACATTTTAAAAAGTCGTCCTTCTATTTACATCATGCAGCAATTAACGGGAACAAGTTTTACAAGAGTTGTAAACAGAGTATTGCATCTCACCTCCTACCAAACTGTCTTCTGTATATGGCTTTATTGTTTGGTTCGGAATAACTTCCTTAGGGTGTCAGTCAAGTTCATACTGAAGTTTAAAAAGTACATTGCATGGCTGAATGATAATTGGATTATGGTAAACTGTGAGTTAGTAGTTAAATCTTAAATCAGATTATTGAGAAATAATACAGATTTTATGTGGGATTATGAAATTTTTTTCTTTCACACACCACTATTAATTAATGTAATAACTTTATACCCTTTACTTCTCTATCCCAAGATTAAAGGTGAAGTGAATTAATCAATAAGTAATTAAGGTTAAGTTGAGAGATTTTATTTTCTGTGGCTTTTTTGTTTTTTTTATAATTCTAAGAAACTTTGTGATGGCAAACTGAAGTAATTATAGGTTTTTTAATTGGATAATTGATAGTATCTAAAAAGATGTAGCTAGTTATTCCGAAATACAAGTGGATATCCCTTTCTCCATTGATAAACACAGCCAGTTTCAGGAGAGAAAAATCTTCCAAAAAGTTGTGTCCTGTATGAGAAGTTATTTGCTCTTTGCAATTAAGGTATTTGCATCTACTACAACAAGAGAGCAGTACTGGACTTACAACATTTGGCACAGACCAAGTTTGAATAATAATCTGTTAGTGTCCTTTTTTTTCAGCAGTTCTTAAATTCGGGGGATTGTTTCTAACAGAGAATGCTGCTTCACGAAGTTGATTACCGAAGTGTTGTGTGGGTTTGATTTCTCTCCAGCGTAGAGAAGACTGATATAAAAGTGTATTTACGGAAGGGAAGCTGGGCCTGGCCCGTTCCTGGCGATAAAGCTGCCCGGAGCCCATGGCAGCCTTTATCAGGCCCTGGCACTCAGCGTGAGCACGCTGCAGTCTCACTGCTCGGGTGAAAACGACCCCGCCTCTTCTCAAACATTTTTCAGTTGAAAATGCATTGAAAAAAAAAACCATAAAAGTTAAAAATATATTCTTTCACAACAGATTGCTTTTATTTCCAGAAGGAAAGGAACTTTTTTCAATTGTTTTTAACCATAAAAACTAGTTTTTACTATTTGTGTTCAGAATTTTTTTTCTTTTTAGAAAATTCATGTATGATCCTGTTAAAATTGTCAAACAACTAGGGAAATGTGAAACTAAACATTAAAAAATACTTTAACCTGGCTGATGTAGTTCAGAGCATTGAGCACGGGCCTGTGAACCAAAGGGTTGCCGGTTCTATTCCTAGTCAGGCACATGCCTGGGTTGTGGGCCAGGTTCCCAGTTGGGGACGTGTGAAAGGCAGCCACACATTTAATGTGTCTCTTTCTCTCTCCCTCTGCAACTCAATAAATACATACATACATACATACCCCTTTAATTCCCACTGCCCTGCAATAAAGACTGTTAGTATTCTGTTCACCATACATACGTGCATCATATCTTTTTTCTCCAAGTGCCTTAAATGAGCTAATCTTTTAAAAATTGTAAAACATTCATATCAAAAAACCTAACCATTTTAACTAGGTGTAAGTGTGGTGGCTTTAAGTACATTCACACTGTTGCACAACTGTCAGCACCATCCCTCTCAGAAGTCCTTTTACCTTCCAAAGCGAAACTCTGTGCCCGTGGGCAATACACATGGCCCCTTCCCCAGCCAACTATGAACCTAATCTTTTTTACTCTGCATTGAAATATAACATTCACACAGAAAAATGTACATGCCACAAGTTCACTGACACCCGCCCCCCCAAAAAAAAACCCCCACCGCAAGGAAGGAAATATTGGTATTCATATTGCAGTTCCTTTTTCTTTGCACCTGAAGTCGCCAGTGCTCTAATGCTACAAATTTACTTTAACTGACAATGTTACAGTCGATGGTGTTCTGTACACTGTCGATGCGGGCTTTGCACACAGCTTAGCCAGGGCTTTTGGGACTGCACCTGTGCTATATTAAGACGCCTCGGACAGCAAGAATTTTCTTTTGCTGGTGTAGCTGCTCCAGTTACTTCAGGGTAAGTGTGTGCAGTTCATGTACATAGATGAACTTCTCTTGCTTAACCTTTCTGATCCTTATTTGGTTTAGTATCTGATTGAAATTTTAGGCATTTAAAAGCATAAATAAAGAAACAATATATAATGCAAAACTGTAATTTGCAGAGATCTGAATATGTAAAACTTTGCAGTGTCTTAGGTCTGAGAAATTTATAGGATCTAATTTTAAGAGCTTCTTGTTTGACATTTAGATGTTAAGGAAAAGCAAAGTATCCTCAGAAATCTCTTCTTAAGGGGAAAAAACATTATAAGATCCAATTTTGTTGTTCATTCAGTTGCTGTGGCTCAATTTTGCTGATAGCCACATGCTTTGTGAATTAGAAACTATTTATGATAGCTAATAATAAAGGTAATGAATTTTTTATTTTGTGCCTCTGAGCTTTATCCAGGACATCCTGGAATAGGATTGTACTGGTATGTTTCATGAATTGATAAAAGCTGGATCACTGTCTCAAAGGCTTATGACAAATTGCATATGGTAAATTAAGATTCAGACAAACATATTACTATGAAAGGGTAAACACTATGACTAAGTTACATGTAAATAATTGAATTTACCTCATTTTTTAAAAGATTTTATTCATTTATCTTTAGAGGGGGAGGGAAGGAGAAATATCAATGTATGGTTGTCTCTTGTGTGTCCCCCACTGGGAACTGGCCCACAACCCAGGCATGTGCCCTGACTGGGAATCGAACCTCGATCCTTTAGCTCACAGGCCTGCGCTCAATCCACTGAGCTACACCAGCCGGGGTTACCTCATTTTTAATAGTTTTCTTTAATCAGGAAAATTAGCTAGTGAAGCAGACCATTTTTTTAAAGTATTTTACTTGGTTTTTATTGGTGGCCTATATCCAAGCATCTCTGGATATTGCTTACCACCTGTGCTATGGTTCTAGGACAGATTCAAGGACAGAAGAACTCAGAGTGCCTTAAGGGTAATCAGAATAATTTAATTTCTATGTGTCTTGGTTTAACTCATCCTGAAACATGCTGTTAAATATTGGGGCAGTGTGGATGAGGGGGGCGTGGATGAATTTCTAAGCTCTGAAATTATGTATTTTCACAAGTATTCATTAAATTCTGAGAAGCTAAGTTTTACTATTTAAGAAAATTTCTATAAAAATTGCCCCTTTAAAAATTGCTGATTTTTAAATAACTAGCCTTCGAAATCTGTTTTTCCTCTTCTACCTCTTTCTTTTCTCCTCCCACCTTTTGCTGTTCAGATTCATTTTTGTCTTATGTTTATATCGAAAAAGTTTCACTTTCCAGTTATGTATTTTTTTTTACTGCTGCCTTGAAATTTTAATTAGAGAGAATTATTTAAATGCCTTGAGAAACTGATTTACAATGCTATGGAAATAATAAACTTACAGTTTGATATTTTTCCATGTGCCAATTACCCTAAGAAAGTGTTGTTGTTATTAAAAAACCAAATACAGGACAAGTAATGCAGGTTGGTGGAGAAGCGCGGTGACATGGGTTCACCATGGACACTCAGTGGTGTTGGTGACACCTGGTCCATGTTACAGCACTCCGTGCCTTTCCTTAGGTAAATAGTACACCATTTGCCATCCAGGATTTCATTACCTTATTGGTGTTTAGTTTAAATGACTCGAGATCAAAATTCAAGCAGAATTATAACTTTTTGAGCTAATTAGAATAAGAAATTTGGTCTTTTTTATTTCCCCACAAAACAGAACATCGTGGGCCTTTGGAAGTATTCAGCTTTCATTCAGATTCTTTAAAACTTGTGTAAAGGCAAGTAGATATTGTCCATGTAGGCATAGAACTTTTCAGTTTATTGGTTTGTAAATGTATTTTCAAGGTAAAGTTCATCATTTCAGAATGAAAGACCAGGATAGCTGAAACCTCCAGTTTCCACGTCTCTGCTATTCAAGTGCAGGTCTTCCCTCTTGCTTCAGTCTTTGCCTGGTCCCACAGTAGAGACCTTCACCTCCCACAGAGCACACACAGCAGTTGTCTTCCACCTTCAGCACAATCGGTCCACGATGAAAGGTTCCAAAGATGGCAGGCTTCCAGACATCCTTTGAAGAGAGTTTATAGTTCACGGGTGGTATTTTCTATTTTTGAACAAGTCTTCTGCACTCGATGTGTTTTTTCCAACAGCTCTCCTCCTGAAGCATCTGCAACAGATGACTGTTGGCAAAGTGAGCCAGAACTTTATATACCGAGTATAGGTTTACAGGCCAATTGGTTTAAAAATATCCTGCCCTCATTTTCTGTGTCTTCTTTAGAATTGTGCCAGAATGCTGACATTTGTGCCTTAGTCTTTACACTTTTATAATACTAGTGACCTCAGGCTGTTTTTCATATTAGGTCTGCAGTATCACTTTATTAATGAGAGATTATTTTTAACATGGATAAATTTTGGTCAGATTGCCAGTGGGGACTGGAAGGAGTGAAAGCCCTGCACTTGAAACTTGCAGAGTGTCCAGATTATCAAAAATAATGTCCTAGAGTTGGAAACTTAGCAGTTGCAAATTCCTCATTACTCTGTTTGGTATGTATTTTGCTTAAATAAAATTTAAAGAGACCATGAGAAAGACAATTACTCTTTCAACTAATAACACAGCCTTTTTTTTTTTTTTCTTTTTTAACTAAGCACAAACACTACAGAAGGAACCAAACTTAGGGGGTTGGAGGTGGAGAGAAATAAGGTCTCCATGTGCAACAAAAAGAGCTCATATTCCCAGATACTGAACTGTATTGTCACTGCTGGGGTTCTGTTTTCACTGGGCCTTTCCAGTGTTTCACAGAGCATGTGGTATTTTTATAAACTTGATTGTACTTTTCCACATTCTCCTTCCTCTACCACAAGCTAATAAAATGCTTTTATTTAAATAGTGTCTTCTCGAAATGTAGGCTCCTTTTCAGATATTAAGCATTAAAGAAAAACCATGAGCACCTAATATAGTATGCTTTGGTTTTATAAGTAGAGAAGTAGACTTGTGGGCAGCTTCTATGACGTGTGTTTGAGAGCTGACTCTGACAGAAAGGAGTTGGACCAAAAGTTACTACCTCTGACCCTGTTTGACTATATCTACAATTATCTACTAACCTCCAAACTACCATTATAATTACATTTGGGGATGGTGATCAAATTTTTATGAGTTACGTTGAGTGAATGTATATAGATGTGGATAACAGATACATTATTTTTTCACATGTGAAAAATTGGAGGCATCTTACTATTTGGAAACACTTTTTACTCAACTCTCAGATGCCATCAGTTACAAGATCATCACTTTAGTAATAGCTTTTCTGAGAAAGGAGTGAAAATACTTTTTTTATAAGACATTGCCCAGTTTTATGCACTTAAAATGGAAAGTGGGGGGTGGGTTTAAGAATTTAATAAATTTTATATATCTGCTATAACACATTGTAATTATCAAGAACACAGATCTAATGTCCAACTTCTATTATTAAAGTTTAAGAAAAAGTCTGATTTTTTCATCTTTCAACAAAGTTGCCCTTTTTTAAAATATATACTACTTTTTTTTAACCTTTTTAAAAAAGATTTTATTTATTCATCTTTAGAGGGGGAAGGGAAGGGAAGGAGAGAGGGAGAGAAACATCAATGTATGGTGGCCCCTTGTGCATTCCCTGCTGGGAACTGGCCTGCAGCCCAGGTGTGTGCCCTGACTGGGAATCAAACTGCAATCCCTGGGTTCACAGGCCCACGCTCAATCTGCTGAGCTACACCAACCAGGGCAAAGTTGCCCTTTTTAAATAATGCTTTTATTATAAAATTTTACTTATGTAAAATAAAGTAAAAGTAAAGTCATTGAGTATCAAAAAGTAAGTAATTTTCTTAAGATTTATACTGCAAAAATGAAAAAATATATAATAATGAGATATTTTTAAAAACTAAACATGTATAAATTTTATCCAAACCCCTAAAATGATCATTAACAAATAATATTACATATCTATTTTGTAATGAATACTCTTCTAGATTTAGACACAATTCATGTCTTAGTCACATCACTTCACAAAATTAAAAATTTTAGTGTGAGAAAATTAAAGGTGAAGTATGTATATCACGTTTCTCCTTTACATCCTTCTTATATAGTCCTTCGTTGATTCAGTAATAGTAGTGCAGTTTTCCCACAAACTTCATCCTGACATGTAGAGAAAATGCTGATAAAACATTCTTGTAATAAAGCATTTTCTTGCAAATATCTACTTCACTTTAACTGTATTCAAATCTTCTTAACACCATAGAAGTTCTTAAAGGAAAGCTGCAAATTCTCCATACCGAACTTTTAACCCCAAACATGTGAAACAGTCAAATCTTTATGGAGCTCTTCAGGGAAAAAGAAAATGGGTTCTGCTACTTGGCGTTTAAACCATTGCCAAAGTACCGCCTTCGTGTGTCATTCACATACAGGAAGAGACTGAAATGCATGTGTGTCACGTGTACCTTTTCTCTCTCTCTCCTACTGTGACATCACCTGGGGAAATCCAGAAGATTGGATAACCGAGATATGACTAATCAAGATTCTGCTGTACATGTGAAAATGGTGGGTATTTAAATATTTCCCATTCCATTTATTAATGGTGAATTCACCACTTTTACCTCCGCCTTTAACTAGATAGTTACTTACAGGACTGTAGCTTTCTATAGATCTTTCTTCACAACGTTTGACACACAATGGAGCCTCAAATGTTTGTCGAATTGAATTTCCACTTTCCTTTGACATCTTTTTGCTTGAAATATAATTTGTATTACTGTGTCAGCATATAAGATGGTTACCCCATTCTTTTTGTGCTAAATTTTCCTTGTTTAACAACACACTTAAATCATACAGCATGAAATATCTTAGGCCTCTGAACAAAAAACAACAAGCATTTGCATGAAAAAAAACTTTTTGGACAATAGTACAAGTTCATTGCATTGTGGACATTAGGGTGAGGTGGGAAAAACGCAGCCTTTGGAGTCAGAACTGACTTCAAATCTTAACTCGGTCCTTCAGAGCTGTGCTTCCCTGGAAGGAGGGTGAGGGTCTCAGGGTCAAGGTAGAGGGATGAAACCGCCGGCCTCATGTCGTCCTTATTCACAGTTTTCCCCCTTCTTTACCGAGGTGTAACGGACAAATAAAACTGTAAGATATTGGACATGTACAATGTGTGATTTAATGTATGTATGCAATGTAAAAAGATTCCTTTATCTAGTTAACACATCCATTACTTTTCACATGTTCACTTTACTTTTATTTTTCGGTGAAAACATTGCAGTTCTACTCTTTCAGCAAATTTCAATTATACAAAAATATAAATGTCAACTATATCATAGTTTGTTATAGTCGTAAACTGTAGTTACTATGTTATACATTAGATCCTCAGACCTTACTCATCTTGTAACTGAAATGTCCTTATTTATATTAGTGAAAAAACATGTGAAGTGCCTGCTAGCATAGTAAGCACTCTGCTGTATTACGTTAGTGAGTATTTTAATTAGATAGGTAACGTCTTTATTTGTATGTGTGGAAAAAATTATATCCGTTCTCCATATTCACAATTTTGAAATCCTAAAAAATCACAATTTCTTCCAGGATCTCTTTCTTATTTTTTCTCTGTTTTTTTTCCTGTTCTTCCTCTTCTCTATCTTTTTAATGTGTTTCTTTCTAGTTTCCTGGTCTGAGCTTATAAACCAGAACAGACTTAGCACGCACACAACCGCAGTGTGTCACAGTTCGTAAATCTCTCGTTCAGCTTCAGTTTCCACCCAGTGTGTGATGGGAGGAGAGAGCTGACTCACAGTTCTGGGTAAGCTGTCATCAGTGTAGTTACTGCTGTTACGGTGAAGCATATGAAATTGCTGTTTTACATGTCAGATGTGGTCCAGTATTGGCAATTTCATACGGTTCAACCTAACTCGTGGATGTGAACTTTGCCGCCATTGCATGATTACTGTTTGATTCTTCGATAATTGAGTTTGAATATCTGATATGTAGCATTAAATCAGTAGAAACTTTCCTTGCTTGGGCCAATTTATTTTTTTTAACCAAAATGAATGTAAGTGGTGTAGGAATGCCCTACTGTATAATTTTTTATTATTTGGATCCCAGAACCCTGTTTTTGAAGCAAGTAACCATGTAGTCAACCCACAAAAAGACTACAGAAGGAAGAGAAGCCAAAGATGATGTGTACTTGCTGTTTTTTACTATCATCGCACTGATTTACACACTTTTTGCCTTGGGTTTGCTTTTCTACAAACGTTGATACATCTTGTAGGAGGCTAAAAGCTCCTTGGGATATTAGCCTCAACTTTTCATGGTCTGGCTCCTCATCTCTTCTTCTAAACTTTCTCTCCCCCTCTCTCCCCCTCTCCCCCTCTCCCCCCCTCTTTCCCCCTCTCCCCCTCTCTCTCCCCCTCTCTCTCCCCCTCTCCCCCTCTCTCTCTCCCTCCTCCCCGTCTTCCCTTCCCCTGCCTCCTTTCCATGTGCATTTGGGTTTAGACCTGCTTATCTTTCTGCCTCATTAGACCCTGCACTTGATTCCTCTCCAGTCTCAGAGTAGCCAAACCCTGCTTCTCTCTGAAAACCTAGATCAGCTGGTTCTTCATCCTCTGACCCCAGTATAAATAATCTCCATTTCTTCTTTTCCATTTGTATTTTATCTGGGCACGTTGGCAAGGTAGTAGTTATTTGGGTTCCTTATTATAATCTGTTATAGAATATGTATCTTGAGTATAAGAAGTGCATCTCACTAAAACTCTTGTATCACTTACAGACCTGCTTAACATAGTGCCTTATACTTAGTGATTATATGGTGAGTGAATGAGTGAAAGAATTTGGCCTATATGACCCGACTGTGGACACTGGCCAAATATGGGGGAGGCTAGGGAGATGGCTGTCACTACAATTTAGTCATGCATAATCTTCTGGTAAATCATAGAATCAATCATCTGTGAATAAATGTGCCAGTCTCAGTAGCTGTCTAGTTTAAACCTATACTTTTTGTGTAGTTTCATAAAAATCTTAGTGCCCACTCCTTTGTACAGTGCGGTGAAGTCTTTTGCTTACACCAGATGTTAACATTAGAAAACAAAGGAAAAAACACATCCCCTGAAGTGTGTTTGGGGCAGAAATTCTTAAGTCATTTACAGTAATTTTTATGTAGGGTATTTTCAGAAGAACACTAAGACAATTTTGTGGCTGCACCATGGAGCTGCTTATTTATATCTTGTCATGTATATATCTGAATAAATGTATCTGTAAGATAATATCAAATAATCTAACGTTGCTATAAAGCTTTGAATAAACCTGTGTATCTTTGACATCAGCTTCTTTAGAAATCATTGCTGTTTGAACAGGGAAGTAGACGAACAGAAGTTTGTTTGGTCTGCACAAATACAGTATTTTAAAGATTGGCCAGAATAAGGGCATGTTAGGTTTTTCTTAGTCGTCTTCAGTGTTGATGCCGACTAGGCCCCAGTCAAGCAGCACAGCCAGGCTCTTCTCAGGGAAGCTTTGCTCCTTCCGCTGCACTGTGCCTCATGGCCTCGCGGAATGAATTCGTTTTCTTTTGTTCACAAATGATGGAAATTTTCAGCCTCGCATTTATCTTCCATAAAATTGTATCATATCAAATTCGAAAGTCTTTGGACAACTCGTAGTAACCTGCCCTTCAGATCGGAAGTGTCATGACTTCATGCTCACCAAACAGATGGGTGTGCACCACACAGGGTGTGAGGAGGTAACAAGGGCGTGACAAAACGCACACTCCTGCAGTGTGCTTCTTAATGTTCTGATATTCTGATGATCTTTGACACATTTCAGGTGTATTTCACAATGTTATTATTTCTTAGGTCCATTCTAAAATATTTAAGTAAAATGTCCAATATCTTAGAAATATTTTAGTGACATTTTCTGTGTACTGCGGGGTGGAGGGTAGTGTTGCCATGTAACCCAAGGCAGATGTAATTATGTTTTTTATATTTCTTACACCTGTGTCCACCACCCTCCGTGTTCTCTGGGAAAAGTAGCTGCTCTTTAATCCATTGTCATCACTGCTATTTCATCCTGTGGTATTTGGGTATTAACTTCTGATCCATCTTAAAAGGAATGGTTGTGTGTGGTGCAGAAGCAGGGACAGGAACGCCTCTGGCCATGGGGTCTCCTTCAGACGGCAGTTGTCAACCTAGCCAGAGCTAGGTGCTCTTCCCCTTTGCATTCTCAGAAACTGGAGGATAGGACTTTCTTGAAGCAGGGTGCCTTCCTCAGTCTGGATTTACTGAAGTACAGTGTTCCACTTTCTTGGTGAAAATATAGTCAGTGACATCAATCTTCTGTTGCTTTCAGTATGAGTTAGTTACTGGATCAAGCATATATTGATTACTAGGCATCTATCTCTTAAGGTAGAGGTAAGAGCAGAATATAGTTGTTAGGAGATGAACTTACTTACTAGCTGAGACATTTGTAACTTCCAGTGCCATGGAACTGACATTCCAAAATAACAATGGCTCCTAAAACTCAATAGGAAACACACAAATTAGCGTCCCTCATCATATCCCTAGCATCGAGTCAGACCATCTGACACAGAGTGGACACAGGTAAGTTTTCATTAAGCAGATGAATAGAATAATGAATGAAAAAAGGAATCGAGAAACAAGTGCCTATCTGCTTGTCTCATCTGTTGAAAAATTGCTATATATTCAGATAACCATCCTTAATCAGTTAAAACCCTTTAAAGCCCAGTTACATTAAAAGGATCACTGTACGAAGGTCAGTTGCATTGTAGCTTATCTCTCCTACTTAAATGCAGCTCTCTAAAAGTAAATATTGTGGGTCCAAGTCTTTCATTCATGGAGAAAATTTTAATGTCGGCACTTCTGTTTCCTGTACACTTCTGAATCCATCTTCCAGTCTTTGGAGAACATTTTAGTCTTTTTCTGGTTTTTCTAATTCTGCCTGTTATGTAGAGACAGCACAGGCTTATCCGGTCAGGTCCCGTTGTACCAAAGACACAAGATCTAGGGAGTTTTTCATAACTGTGTCCGTCACACAGGGGAAGTATGTTAATATCGGTGATAACATACCCAGATAATTTAATTTAAAATAAATAAAGATTGTCAGGTATAAGCCAGTACAGAACCTTGATTTGAGGTTCTATTACTGTCTTTTTATACTGTGGAGCCTGCTATTAAGAGACCCATAATTTCCTCCTCCCGGTCTACTTGTACATGGGCTATAAGTGTTGTATTTGTGCTGAAGTTACTTTGATCCATTTTATTCTGTCTGCAGTATAGCAGGGGGAAAAAACATTAAATGTTTGAGAAACATGAAAGCCTACATGAACCATCCCTGTAGCAGCCTAAGTAAGCCCCGTGGGTCTAATGCCCTTTAGTGGTTGTCCTGACTTGAAATAAATCTGTTGTAAAATTTATGCCAAGAACAGTGAAGTTGTTTGGGATATAGTACCATAAAGGAGCAAACATCTTGAAGTAACTTTTCAAATTAAATATAATTTAATTATCTGTACAAAGGTAAATTTGTGGGAAATAATCTTATAATACTTGTTTCCTTTCTGCTAAAAAATTTTTGGAAAAGTAAATATGAATACAAACTAAATCTTAAGCAGAAAGATTCTTAGAAGAAAATTCTTTATCACAAAGTTCAAATATATTCTCCATTCAATTATTTCGTTTTGGTTAATGAACTCTGTTGAAAACATTTTCTTATAACTGCATATGTTATAATACTAATTTCAGACAGCCAGATGCAAAAGTATACTATGAGACGGAGATAAACTTGTGTGCATATACACACATGTTTGTAATCAGAGAAATGAAAATCATAAAAAATAGAATGGTTATTTGTTTATCTTTGGGTAATAGAATCCCAGACAATTTTTTTCTATAATTTCTGTCATAAGCCTGCATGACTTCCGTTAGAAAAATTACATTCACTGATAATGTATTAGTTACAAACGTAGTTTTGTCTTCATCTTCTTGATGGAAAACTACTGATATGCTGTTAAAATTTTTGTGTGTAAATGGTAATTTGATACCATGTATACACAAACAAGCAAACAAGTGGTTTGCTTGTTTTTATATAATGCCTCAACATTTTAAAACCTTTAAATAATATAAGCTTCTGCTTGGTATCAAAGGAACCTGAGAAAAGAGGAGTTAAAAATAGTCATGTAATGTCCTTTTGTTTTTAGATGCCAGAATTTCAGAAAAGTTCAGTTCGCATCAAGAACCCTGCAAGAGTAGAAGAAATTATCTGTGGTCTCATCAAAGGAGGAGCCATCAAACTTCAGGTGAACCGGCATCAAGAAGCCTGTATTGCTAACCCTTCATTTCTGGTGTTAAAATAGACACATTCACCTCCTGTTTTGCCGAAATCTGAACCAAGAAAGTTTAGATAGATGAGTTTTGCCTGTCCTTTCAGAATGTAAAATCTGAAGGGTATAACTAGAGTTGGTAAAAAAAAAATATATTGAATACCCTGTTGGAAACAAAAATTAATAGCCTTAAAATAAATCTAGCTATTATTTAATAGTATTAACTAAGTTAACTAATACTGTGCATAAGTATTAAACTATTTTAAGAATAATATCGGACTTCCGCCAAGATGGAGGTATAGGTAGATGTGCCGTGCCTCCTCACACAACCAAGTTTAGGGACAACTAAATATTAGCATCAGAAAACACAACCAGAACACGGAAAACTGAACTTTTCGGAAGTCCGCTAACAACAAATTCTTCAGCCCGACTGGTAAGGGGCGAAACCGGTGTCTGGTGAGGAGTTGCAAAGGAGGGCTCGGTCGGACCGGGCGCGGAATCCAGACGTGCGAATCCAGACGCACGGGTTCCAAACGCAGGATTGGACCTAGTGGGCGACCGAACAACCCACCGGGTGAGCGACTGCAGAGGAGACAGTGGGGAGGCGGTGCAGTGTGTTGACTGCGGTTGCCTAATTGCGCGCGAGCGAGGGAGTGGGCGGTTGGACCGGCCTCAGCAGCGATAGAGGGCAGCCGCGGCGATCAAGGGCGCCGCCATTTCCCCGCTCTGACCACGCCCCCACATACAGCGTCACAACCCAGCGACCTGGGAGTCCCAGGCGCCGCTTCTCGCTTCTCACATTTAAAGGGCCAGAACAGACCAAAAATGTCGCAGGAAGACCTCAAAGCCCCAGAGATAAATCTAAGCGACGAAGAAATAGCAAAACTCTCAGACGCACAGTTTAAAACAATGGTCATCAGCTTCCTCACAGATCTGGTTGATTATAGCCATAAATTAGAGAAACATATGAAGGCTAAATTAAGGGAAATGAATGGAATTCCACAGGAAACCCATAGAGATGAAAAGGAAACTGGGACTCAAATCAATGGAGTGGACCAGAAGAAAGCAAATAATGGCCAAACAGAAAAGAGTCAAGGAGCAAGAATTCAAAGAAATGAGGAGAGTCTTAGGAACCTCCAGGACATCTTTAAACGCTCCAATATCCGAATTATAGGGGTACCAGAAGGGGGAAAGACACAACCACCAGTGGAAAAATTATTTGAACAAATAATAAAAGAAAATTTCCCCAATCTGGCAAAGGAAATAGACTTCCAAGAAATCCAAGAAGCCCAGAGAGTACCAAAAAAGTTGGACTCAAGAAGAAACACACCAAGGCATATCATAATTACATTAGCCAAAATTAAAATGAAGGAGAGAATCCTAGAAGCAGCAAGAGCTAAGGGGACAGTCACCTACAAAGGAGTCCCCATCAGACTGTCAGCAGATTTCTCAAAAGAGACCTTACAGGCAAGAAGGGGCTGGAAAGAAATATTCCAAGTCATGAAATCTAAAGACCTACAACCAAGATTGCTCTATCCAGCAAAACTTTCATTTAGAATGGAAGGACAGATAAGGTGCTTCTCAGATAAGACCAAATTCAAGGAGTTCATCATCACCAAGCCCTTATTATATGAAATGTTAAAGGGACTTATCCAAGAAAAAGAAGTTAAAGAAACATGAACAGTGAAAGAACAACAAGCTCACAGTTATTAACAACCACACCTAAAACGAAAGCAAACTAAAAGAACAGCTAGATCAGGAGTGGAAATATAGAAATGAAGATCTCAAGGAGGGTTAGCAACAGGGGAGTGGGAGGAGGAGATGGGGGGAGAAGGTACAGAAAATAAGTAGCATAGACAGTAGATAGAAAATAGATGGGGGGGGCAAGAATAGCATGGGAAATATAGAACCTAAAGGACTTGAGACACATGGACATAAACTAAAGGGGGGTAATGGTGGGGATGGGGGGCAGGGTGGAGGGGAATGAAGGGGGGAATAGAACAACTGTAACAGCATAATCAATTTAAAAAAATTTCAAAAAAAAAAAGAGAAGAATATCAAGTATGTACAGTTTCAAGTTGCTCTTCCATCTTTTTTTTAAAGATTTTATTTATTTTTAGAGAGAGGGTAAGTGAGGGAAAAAGAAAGGGAAAGAAACATCGATGTGATTGGTTGCCTCTTGTGCCCCCAACAGGGGACCTGGCCACAACCCAGGCATGTGTCCTGACTGGGAATCTAACCTGCAACCTTTTGATTCACAGGCTGGCACTCAATCCACTGAGCCACACCAGCCAGCCTCTTATTTAATTGCTTTCACTACATTTTTGTACAGCGACCAAGTGTGTTGAAATTGTGTGGTATTTAATTTCTGTTGGACAACTGTAACCATATTACCTGCAATTGTAAATTCCCATACTGAATAAGATTTTATATGGTAACAAGGATCAGGTATGCAAGTTGTAGCTAAGGGAATTTTCAGGACTTTGCATATGAACTACATTAGAAAACACCATGTAAAGGGAATAACTTATAGTGGGGACCAGGTACCAAGCACAGTCCTGGGTCTTTAGGAAGCTTGCAGCACGGGTCTGGCCTTGCAGCTATGTTTTTATAATGCCTCTTCCCTTTTCTTACAGATAATTACAGACTTTGATATGACGCTGAGTAGATTTTCCTACAAAGGGAAAAGATGTCCAACATGTCATAGTAAGTGTGGCACACATAACAAAATTTTTAAAGTAACCATTATTTTAAGATCCTCTACCTATAATATTATCTATGAGATCAGAGGTTTTTCTTCCTTTTGGACACTGGAAGTGAGGGGAGCTGCTTTTTCATCCGAGATCCGACGGGATTGGGCGCATTCAGGGTGGAAGGGCTGTAGACCTGCTTTTTCATATTACATTTGGAGGGTTTGTCTTTCCCTGTGTTACATAACTGGCTATTTCCTGTATGGTTTTGGTTGCAAGAGGAATAAAGACTTCAGAATTTTTTTTTCTCCAAATGTGGACTATTCATTATTCAAGAAATGGATTTTAAATATTGGATTAAACTTAAGAAACCATATTTATCAGTAAGTTACATTTTCTAGGAATGTTACTAAACTTCTGTATCATTTATATGTAGATAAAGTTAAAGAATAAGTTAGGAAATAGCTATAAAGTTAAAATGTGTTGCTAAGATAAGACACCCTTTTTGTTCTCATTTTCTGAACTTGGCAGTGAGTTTCCAAAATAATACTCTTCACCCTGATAGAGAAGCGGTGACGCGAGCCCTGTCATTCACAGCTGGTGCGCTCATCCCGATCAGTTACATAAAAACCTAAAAATCATAGCCTGTGGCCCAGTGATTCCTCTTTGGGAAATTTCTAATCAGTTAACCCCAAAAGGGGGGGGGGGAGCAAAGCTGTATTTACAGAAATAGTGGTAACTAACTTCAATATAAAATTACTTATACAAGCAAAGGCTTGGTAACAACCTAAGAATTTTAACACTGTAGAAATAGTATCAATAATGTCATGCCCACATGACAATATATAGCCATCATGAATGATATTCGTGGAGAGCTTTTAATTATATTTAAAAAATATAAACTTTTTTCATTGTGGAAAAAATTCAGACGTATAGATTTAGTTCAGTCTCTTATCTGATTGATAATACATAAAACTTTAAGACTGAAAGGAAATATACTAAAATTTTAATACTTTATTGTCAAATGGTATAATTTTGGGGTTTTTTTACAATCTGTATTTTCCAGATTTTCACATTGTTTATTAACATTTTATTAAGGAAAAAAAACATGTATTTTAAGGATGGATTCCTTGCTTCTATTTAACTACGAAGGATGATGTTAAGGGGACCATTCGGTATACAGCTCACATTGAAGACTTTGAATTATCTAGCTCAGCAGTCTAAAGGAGCTATCGCCAAACCATGAGATTCTCTAGGGATGCCACTCAGATTAAAGCACCACACCAACAATTGTGATGGCTGTGCTATTTGACTTGGCATTTAAATTTTTAAATGGTACGTTACTCATCAATGAGAGTGTGTCTTCCTTTCATGACTTCTTTGGTCTTTCTCTTTAGATGTCATTGACAACTGTAAGCTGGTTTCAGATGAATGTCGGAAAAAGGTAAGAGCACTGACAATCCAGTTACTGAAAGACATCATTACTCTTTTTGCCGGAAAATTTCTTCAGGTTCATTCACACAGACAAGAATAAATGCAAAGTGCTACAGCCCAATGTGATATACAGTGAACACTAGATAAATGTTAGATTTATTCTTTGGGTCGTAGCAGTCAAACATATTTTAGAGAAAAAAATATAACAGTAGCTTTTAGGGTTTTTAAAATTTTAGTTTTTAATAGCAACAAAAGGTACACAAAAACTTTTCAATGATTGCCAAAATATTCTGGTGTCCTTACATTATCTGGAAAGTTAAAACTAAACTACTTTGATTGTTGCAGGTTTTGCTCCCTTAAATTTATCAGAAAATTGCCTTAATGCTCTGCTTTTTTTTTTTTTTTTGAGTAGGTGTCTCTGTGTCTTTCTTAACAAAATGAGTCCAAAGGTGAATCAAATTTAATACTTTCATGTGAGAATGAAGACTTTTTTTGTACTAATAGTTTATTAGTCAGTTTCACTGATTGCTGATCTGAAAGTACTTAAATTTTAAAAAGAGAGACCAGAAAGGTAGCTTTCTGCAGGTATATTTAGTTACATGTAAACTGAAATTAGCAAAGATCTTTTCAGTTGATATATGTATTAAGTACTCATGATCTAATCTTTACCATTTTACACTTATTTATATTGTTTTGCTTTATAAAATTAAGCAGAGTAATGACATCTCTGCAGTCTTCATGATTACAGTATGTGTTTCTTTCTAGTTACTGCAGCTAAAGGAAAAATATTATGCTATTGAAGTTGACCCCGTTCTCACTGTAGAACAGAAGTACCCTTATATGGTAGAATGGTAAGTGTGTATTGGACAATAGGGGGGTTAAAAAACTGTATTAGTTATATTCACGGTTTGTTTCCCCCTGTTCCGTGTATGAATAAATTGATGAATTGTCTAATGACTTAGAGCAGTGATTAAATACAATCTCTGTTTCTCTAATAATAAGCTCTAATTCTCTTGTCATTTTCACAATCTGGAATTAGTTTTTTTGTTTGTTTTTTAAATGAAGATCGGTAGAAATTAATTTATAATTCTGCACTTAAGCCTTAAACTTAAAATAAGATTTTTTTCATTAAAGTATATGGACAAGATGTGGCTGGGAGTGTAAAGAAAAAGAGCTAGGCTGTAGATGGAACTGAGGTGGAGCCAGCAGGTGACAGTTTGTGAGACGGGGCCCTCTGCCGATGGCAGCAGAGCCCACTGAAACACTGCTTTGAACCCTGGGAGGGCACTGTTAAGAGAAACGCCAGCAGACTTAGCAAGTGGGTCGGAGGGGCCCGCTGAGACAGACTCGGGAGCTGGGCCATTCCACTGAAGGAGCGTTTCCTGAAGTGGAGAGCTGTGCTGTGAGACATGACATCAGGTGGTGTGAGAATCTTAAGAGACCAAAAATGATGCTTTGTCGTCATTATCCCATCACCTGAGGACCTGGCACACTTCATCAATGTTTATGGTATCAGATGTTGAAAAGAGGCTAGACTTACTCAACATGACAAATTGGAAGCAGACTCAGAAGGCTTTCAAACACTGATTTTCAGCATGACAAAAGGACTGTCTAGCAATTAGAATTTTCTAGCAATGGTATAAGGTTCCCTGGGAGAATGAGCTCACTAACAGGGTGGGAGCCAAACCGGAGAGGGGGTTTCACTGAGGAGTATTACAGAGGGGATTTTTAGGTATCAGGTGGAGAGACTCTAAAGGCCTGTTCTAGTGAGTTGGTGTGATTATAGGTGCTTTTACGGAATGATAAAGCACCTGTATATAGGAGTGGGCAAAAGTAGGTTTACAGAGCCCTGGCTGGTGTAGCTCAATGGATTGAGCGTGGGCCTGTGAACCAGACGATCGCGGTTCGATTCCCAGTCAGGGTACATGCTTTCGTTGCAGGCCAGCTCCCAGGAGGGGACACATGAGAGGCAACCATACAACCATACATTGATATTTCTCTCCCTCCCTCCTTCCCTTCCCCTCTAAAGATAAATAAGTAAAGTTTTTTAAAAAGTAGGATTACAGTTGTGAGTACACAAAGCACAGGGTTATCCTTGTATTGCTTTTCCATGCAAACAACTGTAATCCTACTTTTGTCCACCCCTGTATAAAACTTCCCATAATAAGGACTTTCCCTCTTGCTCACTAGGCAGCATCTTCAGTACTTAGGCATTTCATGAAAAGTCAGACCACAGACAGATGACAAAAATGGCTTTGCTCTTATTCCTATTGCAATCAAAGAAATACTTGTGCCTCGTGAGGTTGTAGGTCTCATCTGTAGACCTGGGACAGGCGTACACCTAGTGTCCTCCATTGTCTTAGTAATACCTGTAAAGTGAGCCAGGGTTTAGGGAGAATGGGAGATCCAGCAAAAACATGTGTATCACCTTGGAGACATGTGGGCTATACATTCATTAGTGGTGAATTTAAAGATCTGAAATTTAATTCCAAAGTATCATGAATGTAATACTGTATTTTCTCATACTGAAGAATGCTTTGTAATAAAGATATTTTAACTTCCTTTCATTGATTTTGTTTTTCTTTGGTCATAAACTCCAGGTACACTATATCACATGGTTTGCTTGTTGAACAGGCTTTACCGAAAGCTAAACTTAAAGAAGTCGTAGCAGAATCTAACGTTATGCTCAAGTAAGTTTCTTGTGGGTTTTTTTTTGTTGTTAACTCTCTACAGACTTGAATTGTTATTACTTGTTGCATTCAAGTGTGTATTTTTATTAAAATAATGTATAAGAAAATCCATATAAAAACATACAGAGTATGCCACCTGTCACATAGTAAAAGTGGTTAAGGAATTTAGAATATGTTAGATCTAGGTATAGAGAATAAAAGCCTGTGAACTTAAAATATTAATTTGCATTTCCTTTCTCCAAATTAAACCTTTCAAAACTGCCATGACTGGTATGGCTCAGTGAGGTGGGCATCATCCTGCAAACAAGTCCCTTGAAAGCGATCTCTAGGAAAGGTGAATCTATTTTAGGAAATAATGAATATATTTCTAATAACATGAATTATAAGGTATTAACATTTAAAAGCTTATTTTTCAATTCTGTTTACTACCTCTTCTTCAACTCACTGGGCAAATGCCATGCTTTTTTGTGTGTGTGATGATGCTACATTTTTAAGGCAGCCTACTTCTGAGAAGGAAAGCTTTAACTGTCAGAAAGAGTGAGGGGATAGCTATTAAGTGTTTCATTCCTGTGTTGGGCAGCTTATCCAGTAGCCCAGGGAGAGTAGAAAGGGAGGAAAAGATTTTCAGATGAAAACAGGACCTGTAGCTCCAGGTCTTCAGCAGGAGGAGCCAGACGCGAAGAGAACGCAGCCCAGTCCCTGCCACTCTGCTTGCTAACGATAGGGGCTGCTTGAGCAAATGACAAGCAAGAGGTCTGCCCGCTCACCCTAAATGGGCTTTTCAAGGTATGGTTTGATTATTTGCTGTTCAGTAGTGTAAATTCTGAACTATAGACTTATGCACATTCAATACAAGTCTAAAATCACCTACTTTTTATAGAGTTTATTAAAAGGAGGGTGGTAAAAAGTTAACTGTTGTTTGAAAAACTTATACTGGTATTAGACATCAGTAACAACCCCCTCGGGCAGTGTTTTCGAATGAGAACCAAGTGAGCCGTAGAATTAGGTAGAAATGTGTGAGCTTTTTTTATCACCTAAGGGATAAGGAGATAATCTCTACTTTAACAGTTATATTATCCCTCCATCCTGCAGGGAAGGATATGAGAACTTCTTTGGTAAGCTCCAACAACACAATATCCCTGTGTTCATATTTTCGGCTGGTATCGGAGATGTACTGGAGGAGATTATGCGTCAAGCTGGGGTTTATTATTCAAATGTCAAAGTAGTGTCCAACTTCATGGATTTTGATGACAATGTAAGAATATCAAGTTATTCTTTATCATTTTAAAATCTGTAAATATTTTAATCATGTAAATGCCTTTGTTATTTATGATTTCATATGTACTCACTAAATGAGGCCAGGTGGAAAGGCCCACTGTGGGACTCATCATCTCCCCCAGTGTTATATCTATATCCATGCTTTATTTTTATTAATTTTTAACATTTTTAACTGTTATTCAAGTATAGTTGTCTCCATTTCCCCCCCGCCACTCCCCCACACCCCAGCCGTCCCCACTGGCCACCCTTAATCCTACCTTGCTTTGGTTTTGTCCATGTGTCCTTTATACATGTTCCTGAAAACCCTTCCCCTTTTCCCCTGTTACCTCCCCCACAGCCATGTTTTAAAAATAACTTCTTAAACTTTTGTTTCCCAAGCTACAGACTAATATAATAATTAGTAAAACTTTTTAAAATGTAACATCTGTGGGTGGGGGGAATGAATTAGAACTGATGTCATTTGAACAAGTTCTTCTAATGAAGACAATGTATGATACATAAAACAGGGCCTTTAGGTTACGAACCAATGAAAAAAAATTGGACTTTTAACTCATGTTCACCATTTAAAGTCTCTAGAAAGTTAATTCTCAGAGTCCTTATGTATTGTGAGTATGAAACTACAATAAAATTTGCAAAACCTGTTACTTCAAAGGAGTTCTGTCTTTAATAGGGGGTGCTCAAAGGATTTAAAGGAGATCTAATTCACGTGTTTAACAAACATGACGGTGCCTTGAAGAACACAGACTATTTCAACCAACTGAAAGACAACAGCAACATAATTCTGCTGGGAGACTCCCAAGGCGACTTGCGAATGGCAGATGGAGTAGCCAATGTTGAACACATTCTGAAAATTGGGTATCTAAATGATAGAGTGAGTATACAAATCTGTCACCTAATTTCCTTTTAAGAAGAAACCAGAATGAAACTTGATAGGCGATTGTTTCTATCAGGTCCTTGAGAAAGCAGTTCCTTTGGAGCCATTGGACATGCTCTTCCCCCCTTTCCTTCGGAGATGAGTAAGGGAGTTGGGCCGCACGGGTACACGCTTCCAGGTGTGGGGGAGGGCGGGTGTGCATGTAAGAGGCCTCTCTGGCCTCTCCCACTGGATGCCAGGGGCATTCCCTGGTCATGAGAATCAAAAATGCAGACACTGCCAAGTGTTCCTTGGGCACCATATCCCCACTAGGAAACCACTAGACCAGAGAGAATTCCTCTGGGGAGAAAGGCCCCCATGTGGGAAAATTTCTCTGAGCCTTAAAAATCAGAATACTTAAAAGTATTGCTTCATTTCAAACGTTTTAAGAAAGTGATTTTAATTTGCCACATGCTGCCCAGCAGATCTAAGATAAAACAGTGAGGGTCATACTGACATGATTTGCTTCTTCCTGCATATTAATCTGAATGGTTTTTTTCTGTTGTTGATCAGGTGGACGAGCTTTTAGACAAGTACATGGACTCTTACGACATTGTTCTAGTAAAAGAGGAGTCCCTGGAGTTAGCCAACTCGATCCTACAGAAGATTCTGTACAAATAAGCAGTCCTCAAGAGGACGACTCCTGCGTGGGCGCGGCTGGTGCAAGGACAGCACGCGGGTCCATCTTGCGGAAGGACTTTTATTTATAACACATCCTTGCTCTTGAAGTATTTTCAGACATGTTGAATCCATCAACCAGCAGTTCCTTTTTCTCCACGTCTCCCAAAACACTCCTCACCATGTTTTTAACATTATAAAACCTGTAAGTCAAAATTTGAAAAGTAACTCCCTACATTTCCAGAGTGACTTTTGTAGTTTAATGTTATCATTGAAGTTTTGGAGTTTTTTACATGTGCGATTTTAAGTACTGCCATTTTTTGTATTTTGAGTGAATTATGCTGATTACCATCTCCTGAAATTGTGTTTGTTATTTTGCTTTGGGAACATTGAAATTTACCCGAACATACTAGCACTTGGTGTTTGAAAAAACTTGGAATCCACATACCACTAATTATAAAATGTTCTATATTGATGCACTGAAAATAAACATGAAAAGCCTTTTAAGTTCTATAGCAAAACTATTATTCTTCATTCATTCAACAAACAGTTATTAAGCACCTGCCAGGTTCAGCTTGTGCGCTTATGACCTGTGAATCCATGGCATAGAGGCTGTCGGGAAACAAAGCGTAGCTGAGCGTCATACTACAAAGTCAGGAACCATCGTCGCCCTCTGCAGTCTGACTTCCCGCTACAGATTTCTGCTGCCCCATAAATGGCTTACACAAGGCTTAGACTTGCCATTGTGGTAACTCCAACCCTGATTCTAACACTGTAACTCCAGAGCCAATGAGCAGCTAATTGCTTTTCTTAAAGCAGCTGAGCTTTGATACACACAAAGCACGACCCAGCTGGTTCTGGACACCCCATGTGGTCACCATCTGTAGCCTAGTCAGGTGGCAGGGAGGCAAGATCCCAAAGATGCAAACCTTTGTCTTGAGGCAACCCATCCCAACCCTCCAGCACTCCTTCTCGAGGTTGCTACAGTCAACAGTGCAAGTAAGTGCTGGCAAAAAGCAGACAGCATGCACGGGAGTATCAGAATTATCTGGAGGACTTTTTCATGTCGAACAAAATCAGGAGTCTCTAATCTCATGCTAGCTTTTCACCCCTATATTTCTGTTGGAGCTTGCCCTCCTGGCTGTTTTCCAAAGGAGCTTATAAGATGCTCCCACAAAAAAAGCATATTGCAGAGTCAATGCCAAGAACACTGCAGTTACAACCTGCATTCAAGTCATGCATCAGTCCTTTACTAAGACTGTAGACCAGTCACTTCCCTGTAAAATGAAGGCGCGGTCTCTACAGCCCTTCTAGCCACTTCCACAGTACCCTGATTATCGAGCCAAAGCCCCTGCCTCTTCCACTCTATGCCTGTGACCCTATCACATCTTGCTGCTCCTGATGCTACTGATGTTGAAAATGCTTGTTTCCAACTTCAGCTTTTAGAATGATGCAGCCAGTAGGAAAGGAGCTACAGGGCCTGGATTTGGCTCCTCTTCCCACCCCTCAGTGTGAGACCAGGACGAGTTGTTTAAGCTGCATCTCAGTCTGCTCACCCTCGCCCCCCCCAGGGTGATGACACAGCCTCTAGGTGGGTGAGGGAGAGCTGAGCCCTGGGGCGGGGGGAGCTGGAGTGAAGTGGATCGTTTCCTGAGACATCTGTGTGTCCGTTTAAAATTTGTAGTTGCACTTAGAATAGCTTAGCGCAAGTACTCAGTATTGCTAGGTTATCCACCCATGAAGATGTAAGCTGTTAGATCCCCCAGCATAGTCTGAGCAATCTGATAAAACAAAAATACCCTTTGCAGTCCTGCTGATCATTGATAGTGTAAAGTTAACTGCCACATCTCTAAAGAATACCATTAGCCAGTAGGGGGTTTTTTTTCCAATTTCAAGTTTTACTCTATAAGGCAAGGCAGTTTTTAATGCCAAGATAAAAAACTTTAATGAAACAAAAAAAAACCTGTCAGCGATACTAGCTCATTCCAGAGAGATTTCATAAGCTATCACCATCCCATCGTGTAACAGACACTGAAGTTGATCATGCAGATTAGATTGTTGGGGGTTCTTCTATCCAGAGTCCAGGTTCAGGTTTTCTCTGGTGTACACTACAGAGAATCAGCAAGGAAGATACATGTGACCTTCAATGGCTACTCCTGACACTTCTCAAGGTTACTGGGAATTCAACCATCATGCTAAATTTTGTACTCAGTCTGATATTTCAGCACAAAAATAGATTACAAAATGCCTGAGTTGTAAGGAGCACAAGTCTTGAAATCAGTTAAACTTGGATCTGAGTCTTTGATCCTATGATGTGGAGCAAGTTTCTTAACTATTCTAATCTTTGGTTTCCTCATCTAGAAGGTCAGGGATTAATTAGCTCTAGAGGTGAGGACTAAATGAATAGTGAACAAACAGTTAAGTCCTTACTGTAAACTGGGTTCTAGAGAAATAGGAGTTAACCAATCAGACCTGCTTCCTGCCCTCCTGCACCTTCCTCCATCCTAGTGGGTGGGTGGTCCAGGTGGAAAAAAGGAGCTGTTACATGAAAGACAAGCATTTTGAAGAAAACACAGATAACAAGGGACCTGCAGGCAGGCAGGCATAGTTTACAAACAAAAACCCACTAAAAGGTCTGTCTCTTCTTGAAGTTGTAGCTGTATGGCCCGCAGTCCTTAAGTCTCCAGGGAAACTTAACTTTACTCCTTCAACCTGTGTCCCCCCCCCGAATAAATTCAAGCAGGACCAGCTAAAAACTGGGGTAGAGAATAAGCACAAGACTTTTCCTCTGCACAGATACGTAAGGGTGGTGAAGGGTGACAGGCCTGAGCGCTCCAAGGGCAGTTCCACAGAGCGTGGTCATCAGCCTGCCGGGCACATGAGGAGCACATCAGCCTTCCAGGCAGCCTTCCTGTGCAAGGAAACCGAGTGACCAGCTGCACCTGCTAGGAGAGGGCTGAGGAGTGTGAGTGACCCTGGCAGCAGCAGGCGGAAAGCCTGGGCGTCTCCTTTCCCAAAAGCACCCAGAGCCCCTGTGGTTGATTCTGCAAAAAAATAATTAACATTTGCTTTTTAAAAACCTAAGTACATACATACATGAATAGTTTCCCACATCCCTGTGCCATTACTCTCCATTGCTCCCACCAGACCCTCCCTGACCCATCTCCACCTGTCTCTGACCTGCACCACCAGCCCCTCAGCTCCCTTGCCTTCTGGTTCCAGCTCGTTTCAGCTCCCGGGGGCCTGTGGCAGGGACACACGTCTCTGCTGCAGCAGCAGACTCAGTGCCGGGAGCCACTCAGGCCCTCCACCGCTCCCACCACACGGCCCTCCCCGAGACCCTCCACACCCAGGTGGTAACTGCTTGCCGGGGTTGCTGGCCACCAGCTGTCCTGGGTCCCCGAGTCCTGTCCACACCTCTGCAACAGAACTCTCAGTAGCTTTTCTGCAGAAGTTCCTAGGAAGGTGCCTCCTGCCAGGGGCACCCCACACCCCCTATTCGATACTGTTCAGCACTCTCCCAATTCCATGTGGCGTAGTCCCACTGGGTTTTTATCTGACTACACAGTTTGTTCCCAAGGGATCCTCTCAGTCTTCAAATAAACCACCACAGAGCCAAACTAGAGACTTCAACATTTTATATACGGAAAAGGTCAGTTTTCCAACATTCAACTGAACGAGTGCATGGCATTTTCACGGACTACCTCAGAGCTATGTCAGTACAAAACTGTTTAAATTAGTAAAACAAAGCAGTTTCGGAGGGGAAATCCTGCATTATTACTTCAGAGTGAGAGCCACCACCAGTTGGGAACAGAGGACGTAGGGTGGTTACCACGTAACGGGGGGATAAGCCGACAGGTGCCGTGTCCTCGTCTTCCTCTGCAGAGTGAGGCCCGGGCTTTAGGGCACCTCCCCATCCAGGACACAGATGAGCAGCAGAAGTATGTCACCTTAGTTACGCTCGCCTGTTGGGAAGACATACCCACCTCGGCCACAGTGACATGCTCTGGAGCTCGGCTCGGCCACCAGCCCTGTGCATATCTGTCTGATGATCAAAGGGTTCAGTGCACTGAGGGATAGAGCAATGGGGATAAGAAAGAGGGGTGCAGGGAACCCCGCGTGGCAAATGCAGACTCAAGTTCTCTATCTGTGGTCCTAGATGCCTTTAGTTTGGCCCACTGATACCCAAGTTACCTGGCCAATCAAAGGACTGCAACAGCAAGGGGTGTGATGAACTAGAAAAGTGTGTGTGTGTGTGTGTGTGTGTGTGTGTGTGTGTGTGCATGTGTGTGTGTGTCAGGGGGAAGGTGGAGGCTGGGCTTAACCAGAGGCTGCACAGGCCACTGAGAAGCTTTCTGGGGCTTTCTGGGAACCCTGCTGGGACACGCCCTTTATTTTTCTCTGCCCATCTGGACAATGCTTGCAAAACACCAGCAAGTTCAAAAATTTTTCTTCATCCTCTTTACATAGGTATCCTGGACCCTTCTTCTTCTGTTCCCTCCAAGATGGCCATAACTTCTGTGTGACACTATTTTCTTTTAATAACAAAACTACCCAGGAGACCCACAAACAATGGTTGGCAGGACAGCCTTTTCCACATCCTACACAGCCCACACTAAGGCACTGCGCCCCAATTTTGTCTAGTACCACTGGCATTCGGCCTAAAACTCTCAGCATGTGTATCGACGCACCCCTGATGTGTGACCCACTACCACTTGCTGACAATCCACCTGCTGAGAGACCCTCACACCCTCATGGCATGCCATGTCATGACGGGGGCCTTGGTGTCACATGGCAGCTTGTATCTGGGTCAGAGTTCATCGTGTTTGGCTTCCTGGTCTTTGAGTTTAAATTCCTCCGCCGTGACCTTGCCGTCTCCATTCCGGTCCTGGTTGGTGAACATATTCTTCACAATCATCTCAGTGTCAAAACCAGGAGCGAGTTTTCCTTTGCCAGAGGCCACCTGGGCATGGATGTACTCCGAGAACTGGAAAGGGGACAGGACAGACCCTGAGACACAGCCACCAAGTGTGCTGAGCCCAGGCCCGAACAGAACAAACCTGCGTCTGAGCTGCCAAAGCAGACAGAATTGTGCGAGCTCCGCAGCCTGGCTTGTTCACCTGATGCAGGTCAAAAACCCCCAACATCCAGGCAGGCAATGCGCAGTGTGGCTCCTGGACCTGTCCTGTCACCCCAAATCAACCTTCCACCCTCAGTCCTTCCCCAGGGCTGACCCCCGGCCACCCAGCCCCAGAGAACCCTGCTGCCCACATCCGTTCGTTCACACAAGAAAAACCCATCATCTGCTGTATGCGGAGCAGCATCCTAGAGGTACATGCTGCCCTTGTCACTCCAGCATATTCTAGTAGGAAAGACACACATTCAAAATGAATACCACCACTAAGTTACATGTTAAGTTAGAAAGTGAAATGCTCTCGAAAAACAGAAAAGCAGAGCCAAGTAAGGAAAATCAAAAGTACAGGTGGGCTAGGGGGTTGAAGTACCAACTCAGT